CAACTGCTTCACTGCTACATCTCATTTTATTCACAAACACCAAAAGGCGTAAAAAGTGGTTTTTTATATTCTTAAATCATAAATGATTTAGGTATGGACTTTCTTCAATATATGTATAATAACAATTATTTTCATTTGATAGTCATAACCCATAACAGAATTCCGAACTCGTAATATAACCATAAATTGTGAAGTGTCAATGATCATAATTAATTATTAAGTTTTTTTTCTTTTTGGCCCGTGAATCACTCATCAGAAGGAGAATCACTATGCTCCGCGCCCTCCAGGTTTTGATATTTGTAAAGCCAAGCACATGTCACATAGTAACCAAAGTTCAATACCCCGCCTACAACCAATACCCAATACACATTGTCCAGCCTTCCCTTATTTATGTTACCTGGTAACCAATTTGTCGTCCTTCTAACAACACCAATTAGAGCAGTAGTCAAGTAAAATGCGACCCCAACAATCACCGAAATCATCGCCGTTGCCATGTTTTTTAAGGTTGTTAGAAATTCTTGATAGTAAAATGCAACTTGTCCAGGAAAATGAAATGCCTCTGAAATGCCAACAAGTGCTAATTGAGGCACAAGCCATAACACTGACATAGGTACAATATTAGAACCTTGATCAAGGTTGTTCGATTTTGCTACCTTTAGCCTCTTCGACTCGACTAAGGCCGAGACACCCATGACCAGAGCACTGAGCACATGCCCGACGCCAATTCTCTGGAGAGGAGTTAGAGATTTGGCAGTCAACTTCTTCCACAAGGGAAAAAGAAATTTGTCGAACAGGGTGAGGAATAGAGCAGTAGAGATCATGGAAAAAACGAGTATGGAACCAGCTGGGATTTGGAAATGAGGTCCAACGTGACGGTCCATTGCTAAGGCTTGAAGGATTGACATACTTGATTGTACACCAATTGTTGTGCCAAGAAAAAAGCTACTTGACCATAGTGGTAAGATTCTGATTAAGGATTTTAAATCTTCTACTTCTTGGACTGAACAAAGTTTCCAGGGTTTAGCTGTACAGCCATCTGGTTTAACGTCACCTTCACTTTTAATGGCTGCATGGTTTAAGAACCTGCATCATGATGACCAACTTCCATATATAAGAAGTATTCATTCCCTTAAACGTTTTATTTTCAGACATACTTATCGAAAGTATATGCATAAAGAGAGAAAAAATTGAACCTTCAAATATTGCTTTCGTATCATCGTCCAAACAGTCTATTGAAGTCTTTCAAAAAAAATTTTAAAAAAAGTGTGACTTGGTAAAAGACTTTTGAGATTTGTGGTCTTAAAAGCTTTGTGGGGCCATAATACTTGTGTGGTTATAAAAACTTCTCATTAAGGATAAAATGGATAAAATAAATAGTTTAAAAATGAATTATTTCTAAATTTAAAAATATATTATTTATTTTAAAATATACTAAAAA